TGCATTTGGAGTGCATAAAATACACGTCTAATATTTATGTTCGCATATTATAGTTTGAGCAAATGTATTTTCTATTTTCTTGCCACTTCATTTTCTCTTTCGGCTTTCTGTCCAGCACAGAACCTGACACTTGATCGTTCATCGTTCACCGTTCGACCGCATATTCGACATCAACATCGTCAAACGATACAAAAATAACAACATATCGAGGGAAAAAATGATATTTTTTTCGAACGCCACCTCTGAATATTTGGACTGCATTAACATGTATTGATTATTAGCCAGAAAATGTTTACGGCATAAACACATTCATGAAATTAATGCAATCGTTTCGTTCATATATATATTGGATAAATCCAATGTTCACCGATTGTTTGGTGTGGTGTTGCATGAAAGAGAGAGAAAGAGCAAGCAAACGAGTAAACGAAAGAGATAAAGCGAGAGTGAGAGAGTGTTCCTGCTGTATGAGTATGTATTGCAGTGAGCTCATTCAAATGAATAATGCAGTGGCAGTTAATTTATGTAGATGATGTTTTCAACGTTCATGCTCATACATTCATCTTTGTGTGAATCCAATTTTCTGCATTTCCAATTATATTATTGCTGGACTGCTGTTTTTGTATACAAGTTCCGTTTATGTGTGTGAGTGTGTGTGTGTTTGGAAAATACAATGCACCAACCACATCTTCTCCTGTCTCCCATCACATGCAACAAACAAACCATGACTCTTAATTTTTGGTTTTTTCTATTATTCTTTTTTTAATTGATCCTTAACATAATATGTCCAATTAGATTTTATGTCTTGCTATGCGCCCATTTTTCGTTGAAAAAATAATCCGTTTTTCTACATTGGTCAATTTAGCAAATATAATATCGGAAGAGCAGGTGACGAAATTGGACCGAAGTATATATACATTCGAAGATGTACTAATGTGTTGTTAAAGTTTTATTTGGCATATATTTTGATTTATTTGTCATATTTTACGAGTTGCTTTTCAAAAAGCCTTTCATCAATATCTGATCATCAACTCGATTATTTCCTATTTCATAAAGGATTCACTTTCTTTCTGTCTTTCCCATGTGAAAAAACACATTTTTTGTCCAAATTTCAATCGAGCGAGCCGCGAATTTCCAAAGTCCAACCTACCAATAGTGTACTTGACATTAGATTGGATTTGGCATTAGAAGGTATAATGCATTTCAAAGCAATATTTGTACCTATGTGAGACAATTTATTAAAACGCAGATATATCTCGGTCGGTGAATTGTCTACATTAAATTACACTCAATAATTCATTGAAAATGTCTTAATTACATTTTAATTGCCTGAACTTTGTTTCAACTTCAACTGTAAATACTAATTGCTAACATATAATTTGAGGCAGCCTTGAATTGGCCATTAGCTCCTGTTTATATAGTTATATGGAGATCTATACGTTGCTTTCTACCAGATTTGATCACTCAATAAATCTCCAATGATTTCCACTCATAAATTACATTCCGCTCGTTTTTCTCTTATCGTCGTCATTTTCTTTACTTTCTTGTGATAAAAATCCAACACACACACACGTCTACGCCTTCATAGTCCTATATCGCATGCAATGAAAGTAAATAAAAATAGAAAGATGATTTCTAGTTACATCCATCCACCATGAGTGCTATTCCGCATTCGGTCCAATTAACCGATTGCGCTTTTTGTGTGTGTGTGATAGAGAGAGCACAATAGCGTTGATAGTAGTGCGCGATAAGAAATTTTATAACGAAAACCACGAGAGAAAAAAAAAACAAATAAAACATATGTGATACTTAAAGAGCAACTTGTTTGTTGTTAGTGTATTTTGCACGCGCGCACCGTGTCACTAAGATAAATTAACCTGCTGTTTATCGTTGGAAGTTAAAGAAAGTGCCCATCGCGCACATAAAACATCTCAATATGTGTACGGTAACATAAGAATGACATTAAAACTTGTGGCAATGCGCGCAGGGTAATTGATTGATCATTTTGATCATTAGCGAAAATGGCAATGACATTAGACATTCGCAATGCTCATTCACTAACACTTTCCAACACGATCAATTTTTTGGTCATTGTGTGAATTTTAATTGGAGAGTCATTTCAAATGAAATAAATGGTAAAATTCAGATTTCAACACAGCGAAATAACACGAAATATGTGCTTTTATTGTCAATTTTAATTTAAACATTTTTATAAATTGCACCGGATATTGCAAGATGCTTTTATTTGCATTTTTTCGACGACTGTCGAAAAGAATTTTTAGAACTTGTCTAAATTTGTATAATTTTTTGGTTTTCGAGAAGAAATTCGTTTTAAATATTAAATATTTTGTGTGTATAAAGAGCAAAAAAAGAGTATTATTTACATGCTTGATCGGTGCATTTTGTAAAGTAGCATTTCGTTCAAACGAAGTTAAATGGCAGTAAATGTGCGCGGTCATCGCAAAACTTCAATATATCGTGAAATACATTCAGATTCACAATTTTACGGCATGTGACGGGATGAGAGAGGAACAGAGAAAACACAGCCAAATGCTCTCTCGGTGTTTATACGAGTGTATCATTTTTTTTTTATTCCAATCAAATGGCCGCAGGCAAAGTTTACAGTAGCATTTTATAAGAAAATTATATGTGTTTATCATTTCAGAAAGATATTGTGTGTACGTTGACGACGACAACGACGAAAACGACAATGACGATGGCAACAGAAATGGCGACTCATTCACTCACACCTATCCCATGTCCCCCTTTGTATAGAAGGCATAGTGCGTGATTGCATAGGCAAAGTAGCCAGTGAATATGTTAGTTTTTTTTGTTTCGAAGTGAATCTTATTCCTTTGTCGTTTACTCTCTCTCGACGGTAGATAGATTGTGTGCAGATGCGTCGCACCAATCGATGCCACCAAACGCAGCAACAAGACACTCTGATGACACAAAATTGAAGGCCAATCACCATAATTTTGCTGCACATGAGCATGTATAAATTAGTAACATGATATATTAAAAGGAGGAAGGAAACATATTACGAAAACATCAAGAAATTATGGGCCAATTCAGTAGTACCAATGGCCAAAGAAAAATGTAAATTTTGCGCCACCTGAATAATTCCAACGCATTTATATTATAAAATGCATCGCGGTTAATTTTTTCAAATATGCAAATTTGCTTTCATTGTTTATGCTGCTGTTGTCGTTGTCGTATTCGTAGTCGACAATGTCGTTACCCACAATTTCGGCTCAGTTGTTTTTCTCTCGGTCCGCTTGCTTCCCACTTCGACGTTCATTTTATTAATAATATAGTGAAACAATGAGAGCTCAAGCATTTTTTCGATTCTGTTTTGAATTTGATATTTTGGCTTTTTAATTTTTGTGAATGAATTTCATTTGGTGTTTATTGCTTTTCTTTCCATCACACAGTGACTCCCTGAATTTTTCAGATCTTTAACTGTTTTCGAAAATATTTTTATGTTGTAGCCATGATCTTGTGTGATATTATCAGGTGATAAACTGTCACAAAATGTCAATCGAATGGATTATTTCTATTAGCAATTTGCAACAATTTATTATCAAATTCAGATCCGATAATAGATAATATGCCCATTGGAATATAATGAATCAAAAGTTGTTGAAATATGATTATCATGAAAATATTGGATTGAATTGTGTATGCGTTGGGAACCTCTCTTCATCTCACCTCTCTTCCAAACACACGCACACTTTGCATCATCATGACTTTTATTCGCGTGTGCAATTTTCACTCTGCATCGTGACAGTATACATGAAAATTAATGGATGAAAGTGTGCAAAACTCACGTAGTTTTTTGGAGGTGGCCTGCATAAAAGCTAATACTTCATTCTTAATTACAAAATGATTCAAAGATCACAATAAAAACCTTATTTTTGCATGTGGTATGGTAATTTCCATATATATTTGCTACAATAATATTTAAAAAAGAAACTCAAAAACTATCATATCATCAAAAACATAGAATATAATTTGTGAATCAAGAATATTATGAACAAACAGTGTAAAAAAAATATGCTTCAAGTAAAATCATTGCAAATGAGACAAAAATAAAACGGAAATTGTATTGTGTGTGAAAACTGAATTGTGCGTGTGCTGTTTTTTTTATTCGGAGAGGAAGGGTGACAAATATGCAACGTCGTTCATCTTTTGTGGCTTTAATTCACATTTCCATTTATTTATGTTTTACCAAACATACAAATGCACACATAACATTTTATACGATGATTTCGGAATGTTTGCACATAGCAAATATCGAATTCATAAACACAAACTCGCCATCTCTCTTGTCTTCTGTCTTTGTTGCCAGTCCCAAAACAACGAATCGACAGTCGACACACACACATACACACGCACATACCGAGAGTCCGTATTTCTCTGTTTGCTTCGTTTCGACTTTTTCATTCCAAAATGATGTGCCGCCGGCCAAATGGCCAGTGGGCATATTAAAATAATCGAAAATCAAGATAGAAATAGAAAACGACACCGAAAGAGACACAAAGACGGCGAATGAAAAGAGAGGAGCTAACAGAGGGAAAGAGAATTCTCTATGTGACACAAACATATCCCAGCCCATATATTGTTTATTTAGTTATCATTTTTAACACAGCTCAATGCAGTCATTGCAACGACCAATGATGATAACAATATATATATTCTTGTGCAAACGTGAAAAATAGTATTTTTTTTTCGGTGAAAAGAGAAACCCTAGCAAAATTGAATATTTCTGAAAATTTGTAAATCTGTAGCAAAAATTTTTTTTTCTGATGCTATGTCACATTTAAATAAATCCGACGAATTGCTTCATGCAAACTCTCTTCTTTTTTTCATTCATTTTATAAATGTTTAATAAGTCAATAAGAGTTTTCTTATACGCAAAACCCTTACAATATTTGTTATTTGCATATTCAGTATTATAAATAGAAATCAAATTCAAAATAAAAGTAAATAGTTATTCTTACCTTTTGACGCAAGTTGTGTTGGAATCAGAACCAATCTGCCCCCGCTGATCCAGTGCGGTGCTCGGCCGTAAAATGTCGTACACAAAAATTTTGTCGCCTTTTTTGTCGATTATCGAAATGAATCGAGTAAAGATGATTGAATCAAAGAAACAAACGTGATCACAACAAAAACAAGTGCGACACCAATTTAAAATTGGCTGTATGATATCGCGGTATGTAATTAAGGGATTAAATATGTTTTTTATTCCAAATAAGGTACGTGATGTGCGATCCTCACAGAATGTACGCGAGGTAATCCTTGTGATAATAGTGTGTGTGTGTGTGTGTGTGTTCCGGATTCGCTTTTGGCTTCGAGATTCTTCAAAAATAAGCTGTAAGCGAAACTGTTTCAGTTTTCAATAAATAACAAACAATTAATATATAACAATCTACAAAAAAAAATTACACAACAGAAAGTCCGAACATATTAAAATCCACAAAGGAAAACTACTTTTATGCATATAGTGGTTTGTGTGTAAAAAAAAGCAGCCAACAGATCACTATGGTTTCAGAACTATATTAGAGTGAAAAACTGCGTATTTGACAAATTAAAAAAAAAAACCGAGAAATCAGACTTTGAATAAAAATGATTCAAATCAACAAATCCGGATATATTACAGCAGTGTATGATTCGAGATAGAAATAAAGAGAGAGCGCGCGAGAGAGTAGAAATAACAATCAATGATAAACTAACGACGATACAGCAAACGAACATGTATTTCATAAATTGCGTGTGCGTGAATGTTAAACACAAACACTTTGGTTTAATATTTTACTTGCGGCAATTAAATGTCTGTATCTAATAGGTTATATTTTGAGTTCATATATATCTATCGTAATAAGTTTTTTTGGTTCGTACTTGAATTTGGATGTTGTTGGTTTTTTAATTCTCTAAATTTTAATTCAAACAATTTTCTTTTATTTTGTTTCAATTCACGTTCATATTTATCTACTGAGACTGAATGATTTGATCATCTTTTAAAAATCATTACAGTGATTGTGATCACTAATGATTGATCCGATGCATTAAACTGGTACGGTGCCGAGAGTATTTATCGAAAGACGAAAGAATTTTTATTTTTTTTTTTACCTTCATTGAGAATAGAAACCACAATTTATTTTATATGCGTATGAAACAAGACACACATTAAAAAAAATGGATAAAAATTCTAAAACTAAATCGGACTAGAAAATGTTCAAAAATTTAATTAAGAAAATATGTAAAATTTGAAAATTTACTTTTAATTTGATAACACACAATAATTTTCACTCGAATTCCGTTTGGCCTTACGTTAGTTCAATGCAAAATAAATTTTTTCGTTTTTTTTAGTTGTTTATCACTTGATAATTTATATTACAAATAATTTTGATGATTTCGTCTTTCGCACACACAGAAATCAAAATGATTTTGGGATGCACATGTAACTGCTACGACGTCCAAAATCATACTGACACCATGCTCTCGAGTTTTGTTGTTGATTTGAAGTGTCTGTGCACAACACGGCAAACGCGCACGCCACAGATATACACAAACCGAGCCACAACAACAAAAAAAAGCTCGACTTCTCTCTGTATCTCCTTGTGTAGAACAACGTGACGCGTACGCATTCGTACTCACATACAGCAGTGATGGCGGCAAACAATGAATACGGTGTTAGTTGACAATAGCGCAACGGAAGCAGAAGCAGCAACAACATGTTTGAGTAATCGCTTCAGTGTGTGTTTGCGAGAGAGAGCGAAATGACGATGATATATCGGCAATATGGTTGGTGTATTGAAGAGCCAACCCGATTTTCCATAACGACGATCTTTGGCGCTTAACAGTGTTATAAACAATAATACAGGTTGTATATATTGCAACGGCAAACAGCAGTAGCATAAGAGCATTTATACAAAGTGTTTATTTCTGTCGACCGATGATGATGATGACGACGACAACGACACAATTGCAAGACCGAGAACGTTTTGTGGCTTTTCGTTTGTTGTTTTTATACAATGTTTGATACACACACACATGCACACAAACTCATAATACAAAATGTTATTTCGGGTTTTCATAGATGTGCTTCATCTTTTCGTTTCCTTTAGCTGTTACCGCTATTTGGTCTGTGGCGTGTGTTCGAGCAATAGTTGTTGTCTTTTGCAATTTGGTCGAATTCACCGAAAACCACCCGACGGACTCGAGAGAGAGAAGCATCGACCGAACAGAAGAGAGAAAAGGCGAGACGATGGTCGAAGGAAAATGTTAAGTGTGTTGTCGACGAGACAGATGGATGACAGCCAATGCAACGCTTACTGGGAAAATGAGAGGAAGAGAGAGAGAAAACTAACACGCGACGGACTAAACACGTTCAGATCTTCATATCCAAAATGGTATTTTTCGGATTTGTTATGTTTTTGATACTTTAGCTATTTAGCATTTGTGAAACGCTTGCTTTTGGTGTTTATTGTTTTGTTGTGTTATGAATATGTGTGTGTGAGAGTGTTTTTTTTTCTTGCTATCAACCCCAAAACTCTAAGCTTTTAAAGAGTGCTGGAAAATGCATTATCGCATTGTTGCACACGTTTGCTTTTATCCTTAATCGTTGTGTGGATTGTATATACCACACTGATACACACACACACATATATATATACACACAAGCATGTGTGAATTCCGGCACAGAAATTGAAAGCGAGTGAGTAATTTTCGTGAATAGAAAACTGTGTGTGCGCTTACAGTGTGAATGCTGTTGTAACAATCGGATTGTATGGTGCTTGTAATTTTGGACGCTATGTGTTAAAATTGAACGCATTTCAAGTTGAGAAGTGTTGATGACTTTTGTTCACATATTACGAATTAGGAAAAAAAACCAATGCTGCACCTTTCTCTTGTCGAAATTGTATGTCCACATGTCAACATGGTCATGTAACACATGAATTCATGTATGATCGAATCAATTTACAAAAAAAACATCGTCATTTTGGATTCTGGAATATAGGCATTTTTATCCGACCAACATTTGAATTAGTGTCTATTCTTTTTTTTCTGTTCACATCCCTCAATCGAAATAACATTCGATTTTGGAAGAAGTCAGGCGAAAAAAAAAAGAGAAATACACACGCACCCGACTGAATCAACATTGGCTAGAACTGTAACTGCATCGGCATCAATTCCCATTGAGCACTGTTCCACGTCGGTAGTTGCCATCGTTATCGATGAATGCATCACTTAGAATTCGAATTGCATTCCGGATTTTAACCCACGGGCATTAATCGATATTATTTCAACAATAATCTGAAATATTTAAATCCACTTCGTATGAACTCATCGTCCGACGAGGAAAATTCTCGCTTTAGTAACATCTTTTTTTTAAATGTCATCGACATTTTTCCCTCTAATTCTCATTTGGAGTATTATTTATTTTTTGGAGCGGACATACGACATTTTTTTTCTCTTTGCTTTACTTTCTATGATTTCAATTTATTTATTTTTTTGGGCTTGTTTGGAAATAGGTTGCCTCTATGTTTATATCAATGAAATGTCCATCACAAACGTTGATGAAATTTCAAAGGGCATCAAATGATCCATCTAACATGTGCGATTGGAATGATATAGAGACGAAAAAAACAAGAATAAATTCTATGCCGGAAAAGCTTATAGGGTCATTCATGACATTTTAGTTTGTCTATTTTTTCATTGGTTTTTAACCGCTTTTAGTTTTTGCAGCAGAGTATCATGATTTGCTGCTGCTCAGCATATATTTGAGAGCTGAGAAATGCTGAACTCGTGCGGCTAAAGCATACGAAACGGATGACACGCACACATGCATTCTCCCCGTTTAAACGGTTATAAACAGTTGATTGGATGTTCAATTCAAAACTCAAAACTTAGTAACCAGTTGAGTTTGAAATTGTGTTGCGACCGACATATGAGAAGCTGCGAGAAAAACATCACGTCGCATCCCTCGTTATTTTTCTTACGTAAGTGAAAGCAAGAGATGAGATGCGACTTGCTGTTTTTGCTCTCAGTCTTTCATATATTCTGAAAGTGTACGTCTAACGCATACGAAACGGATGCACGATACATATTCCCCTTTCACTTCGTATGTTTGCTGGTATAGTGTATAACCGTTGTACCGGCAATAGCGTCAACGGCAGCACATACGAAGCGAAAGGGGAATATGTGTCGTGCATCCGTTTCGTATGCGTTAGCCGCACGAGTTCAGCATTTCTCAGCTCTCAGTTCTATGCTGAGCAGCAGCAAATCATGATACTCTGTTTTGCAGTGTCTTTTTTTAAGTGCATGTAATTTATGAATGTATTCAAAAAGGATGAGTTTTGATTACAAACATTTAAACAAAGCAAATCTTGCCATTTGATAAGTATTTTTGGTACTTTGGTTGTCCGACTAAACTGTATTCATTTTGAATGAATGTTACCGATTTTCGTCTAGTTTTTCTATTGCCTGGTATCCATGCATGGAAAATGTCTAATGTAATAATTTCGATTTTTTAGCCAAATACGTTGAAATAGTTTTTGGATGTATCGCCCGGCATTAGGTGTGAGGTAGAAAGAAATTGAGTGTTTGCTGCGTTATATTTTATCATCGATGATCACATCAATATCAGCGAAAATGGTATTCACTTCAACTGAAATCTCCAATGCTCAATGATTTTCATGTATACATTATACATACATCATATACAATGCCATCGGCAATTTATATATATGTACCCATTTCAAATGACTTTGAAGCCGAAAGGGAACAAGCAACTAGCATCGTCGATGAAGATTGAGAGCGCACAGCAGCAATCGCACACACAGAACAGACCGAGAGAAAAAAACATAACCCAGCTAAAATAACAACACAAGGACAAAGTACAACGAGAAAAAAAACGAGAGAAGATATAAAATAATAAAAACACGACAAAGTTCCTTGCGCGACAAAGTCTGCGTATATATAAGAGGGGGAGAGAGAGAAAGGCAAAGACTGTTTGTGTAAACGTATGAACGTCGAAATAAAAAAGAAAGATGGTGAGGAACTGAGACTAGATTCCAAGTTTTCTGTTCCATACATATTGTAATGGCCGGTGGCAAGCCCACGAGTCAACTCGATTGCGAAGCCAATCTACGAAGTGGCCGGCAGCAATGAAGCGATTCGGTTCGCTCCTCATCGCTCCAAGTAATGACATTCATCAAGAGCAAACATACATATTTCCTATGAAGTACGTTCACAGACACACATCAATTCTTCTTCGTTTGCTTGTCTCTTGTTGGTATATCGTATTGGTCCATATCGGCGCGCATTTACCAAAGAACCAAATCAAAAACCAACCGAAGAAAATAAGCG